TCTGGTTTATTTGTGTCAGACTAAGAGATTGTTAATGAACATTATTACTGTTGCAAGACGTATCTGGAAGATCCTAAGGAAAGTAAAGGGATATGTACTTTTGAGAGAAAAATATTTTAATAATAAAGAAAAATTAGATTTTTATATCAGGTTTTCTACATAGATTATCTACAGTTCATATCCAAATTTACAAGCAGTTGGGTAAATGGTTAAAATTAGGAAAGCTTTAACTTCAGTTGTCTGTTCCATGCTAATCAAAGCATAAAGAAATGCAAAGAGAGAATTAGTTTTATTGTGAGGAATCAACAAATACAGAACAGAATGAAGAGTTCTGAAATATTATCCAATCAAGATATGAGAGAACACTGGATCATCTAAGTTCAACAAGCTGTTCCTTAAATGAAGCTTTCAAAGACAGGATAATATCTGCTGTCCAACTGGAGAAGAATCATTTCTGTTCTGGAGTTATAACCTGCATCTTGCAGAGGTCGGCTTAATTATGTGCAGGGATCGAAAGAAACATCGAGGCATTGGCTAATTGCTAAGCAACCAAAGTTCATCAGTGTCAGTAACTTGGGGAGAATTGACATGGATCAGATCCATTTTTGGAAGTAGTCTGTGGAAACTACAGGAAAACATACATTTAGTTTAAAACTCAAATGACTTAATTTCAAGTTCCTTGCAGTAAACCTAGTTATGAGTCACAATTAAACAATCAAACCTAATGTAGCCAGACACACCTTCACTCATAAGAATATTTAAACTGATTTAGACTTTTCATTTTGTACTATTTTAAGCAAAAAATTCAAATTAAAAGTAAAATTAGATGTTTTTTTCTATTTATATCTGTGTGAGGTCCACTGACTACTTCTCATTTTTGTGCTAAAGGGAAATGAAACAGTTAACTAAACTAACTTAATTCATGAGATTTTGTCTTACTATTATCAACAATTATACTACAAATGTGAAAAACATAAACATAAAAGAAACAGTATTAATATTTTTTGGTATGGGTGCCGCCATATTACAGTACCCCAAGCAGTTACGCCATGGGGTTGGTCAATGCTTCAGCTAGCAAATGAATAAATTTAATATAGCAGCAATACATCATAACTATAAAATGCTTTAAAAATTTAGTACGATTGAAGACGAAGCTGAAAGGATAGTAAAGCGTCTAAATCACATGACATACGCTTATGAGCCCATTCACCATGTGAAGTGAGGCGTAGGATGGAGAGAAGAGGCAGTTTTGGAACCCGGGTTCTTACTAGCCCCGCTACCTGACAGAACACCCACTATAATGTAAAAACTCTTCAGTATGGCAAGCTAGTGGTCCATCAGACAGCCAGCTAAAGTTAGTTTATTTCGCTGCCTATAAAAGTTGGGCTCTACTGACCGGCCAAAAACTACGACAGCAGGTCAGCTGCAACAATCAAGCATAGTGACATGGTGCAAAAACACCATAAGCAGGCAGAATTAAAAAAAAAATTTAAAAAAAAAAGAAAAAATCCACTGGACTTTGCTTCCAAGTTCGAAGGCGTTTAACTTCCCATCCAGGAAGCTAAACGTCTTCAAAAATGGAAAGAAAAAAAAAGTAATTGGAATTTTTTTTTTTTTTAATATGTAAATTCATGTTGCCACTTACCAAGTCAAGAACTATGCCCCTATGCTCTAGTGATGGACAAACGTCCATCACAACTTTATATTAGTAAAGTTTTGCTTTACTAATGTTCGGACACTTAGATCGCTCTGCAAAGAGATGGAAGCTTTGGAGGTGTCCCTGAATGACCCCAGAGCAGAGACACAGCATGACCGGACATTTCAGGGATAAAGCCCGTAGGATGGTGAGGGAGAGCTGGGATCTTAGGATAACCTGACTGCCTGCCATGGAAACGGGGAATCACGGTAAGAAATAGACCATTTCTTTGGAGGTTTGGACTGCAGCGGTATCCTGTGCTGCATAGATGTGTTCATCCTGATGGCTGGAGGTATAAAAAAGTGTGCTATTAAGAAGCTCAAACAGGAATAACTGTGGAAAGCTAAGCTCTAGTGATGGACGTTTGTTTTGGAGTTAGGGGCATAGTTGATGACTGACAACATAACATGATTCTACCTGCTTAGTGTGTTTTTCACCTAGTCATTATGGTTGACTGTTACTGCTGACCAACTGTTAGAAAGTTTTGGCCAGCCAGTAAAGCCCAGTCTAAAGAAGGTTAAAATCACCTGGAGCAGATTCAGGCTTTAGCCGACTGGCCGATGGATCATAAACGGCATGTCTCAAATGTTTTTGCTTTACATTATCTCCACAGCCGGTGTTCTGTTGGGTAGCAGGGATAGTCAGAACCCCGGCACCAAAACTGCCTCCTCCCTCCTTATTGCGGCTCATGTCACACGGTGAATGGGATCCAAAGCATAAGCTAATATTATTTAGATGCTTGAGTGTCCTTTCAGCTTCATCTTCCGTTATACCAAATTATTTAAGTGTTTTATGGTTGTGATGTATCTCCACTGTTTTCAATTGCTAGCTGAAGTATCAACCAACCCATTACATCACAGCTTTGAGTACTGCAACAAAAAACATTTTTTTCTTTTACAATTATATTTTTCAAATTTGTAATAAAATTTTTGATAATAGTAAGAAACAATCTCTTGAATTAAGTTGAGTTTGGTTAACCATTTTCACTTTAACATTTGATGTGGAAATGTGCCAATATCAACAAAGTTTTTTTTCTTCACATATTTGAAATAAAGGTTCACCTGTGTGGGTTCTGATGTGATCATTTAAAATACTTATCTAGGAAAGACTTTTTTCACATGTATTATACAGAAAAGGTTTCTCATCTGTGTGGGTTTGCCTGTGAGAATTTAGAGTACTAATCTGAGAAAAACGTTTTCCACATATCTCACATGGAAAAGGTTTTTCACCTGTGTGGGTTCTGATGTGAGCATTTAAAGTACCATGATGAGAGAAATTTTTTCCACATATTTTACAGCGATAAGGTTTCTCCCCGGTGTGGATCCTGATGTGAGCATTTAAGCTACTAATCTGAGAGAAACTTTTTCCACATGTCTTGCATGGAAAAGGTTTCTCACCTGTGTGGGTTCTAATGTGAACATTTAAATGACTGACCTGAGAGAACCTTTTTCCACATGTCTTACACGGAAAAGGCCTCTCACCTGTGTGGGTTCTGATGTGAATGCTTAGACTTTTAAACTCAGAAAACCCTTTTCCGCATGTCTTACAACGAAAAGGTTTCTCACCTGTGTGAGTTCTAATGTGAATCCTTAAACTACCAATCTGAGAGAAGTTTTTTCCACACACGTTACATGGGAAAGGTTTTTCACCTGTGTGGGTTCTGATGTGGTCATTTAAGTTTCTAATCAGGGAGAAACCTTTTCCACATGTCTGGCATGTAAAAGGTTTCTCACCTGTGTGGGTTCTAATGTGAATCCGTAAACTACCAATCTGAGAGAAGTTTTTTCCACAAACGTTACATGGGAAAGGTTTTTCACCTGTGTGGGTTCTAATGTGGTCATTTAAGTTTCTAATCCTGGAGAAACCTTTTCCACACGTCTCGCATGTAAAAGGTTTGTCACCTGTGTGGTTTATGTAATGCTGTTTCATGGTAGACTTATTCCTAAAGAATCTCCCACAAATGTCACATTTTAAAGGCATTTTCTCCATGTCAGTTTGAGGCTGACTCTCTGACGTAGTGGAGCTGCGTTCTTCCCATTCTTTAGTCTCAGCTGCAGAAAAGATATCAATGGAATGCTGATCAGTTCTTGGTTCTCTTTCACTCAAATCAACTTCCTGAATATTAAAGGTCTCCATAAAAGTGATTGACTGCTTCTGGAAAAGCTGCTTTTCCTTCTGTCTGCTGTTTAGGTCTTCCTGGTACTGTGTAGACAGTGTATGCTCTGGTAGCCACTGTTCATATTTAGGTAGTGAATAATCTGGTTCCTTCTTAATGTCAAGTAGCGGAGATGCTGGCTCTTCCTCTTCTTGATAACATGGAGGTCCTGATTCATTCTGTTTTTCCTTCAATAACACATCCTGTTCCTGATGTTCCACTTCAGCCCATGAAAACTCAGGTTCATCTTTTTCTTCTTTGATCAGTGAAGACTCTTGATGTTCTTCTTCCTCTTTAATCCATGGAGGTCCTGGTTCCCCCTGTTTTTTAATATGTGAATATGGATTTTCTGGTTCCTTGCAATCCTCTTCAGTCCACTGAGGTACTGCTTCATCCTGGTCCTTATTGGACCTTTTGCGCTGGTTACGAAACAGCTGAATGGCTATAGTTTCCTCCTCGTTGAAGATATGTGGCTTTTGGATTCCTGCAGGGGACAAAAAAAGATAACATGATGCAATTAGCCCCTTTTCATTGCTTGCTGAAGCCAAGGGCAGGTTTACGAATCTATGTGGGTAATTTCTAGTGCTAAGGCAAATTAGACAAAGGGACACAAAAAATAAATATATAAAAATAGAGCATGAAACAATACATGATGCTTTGATCATAAGTTTACATACCTTTGAAAGATTTTTTGTTTTTTTGGCCTTTTTTTCAGAGACTATGAACAATGACACAAAAACTTCTCTGTCACTTAGTTGATGAGAGAAGCCATTTATTGATAAACAATTGTGTTTTCTATTTTTAAATCATAATGACTGCAGAATAAGCATCCAAATGACTACAGTTGACACAAATGGGTTTGACTGACATCTGTGTCTGTTTGACTGACATTTTGTGCTTGTAATAAGTGTGTGTGCAGACAAGCTGATTAGTTTCTGGGATCTAGACACACTCTTGCATCTTCTGAGTCATGGGTAAGCAAAATAATTGTCAACTGATCTCACAACAAGCCTCAAGACTTCCAGAACAAACTGATTTTGGAGTGCTGGGACCAAATTTTTTTTTTTTTTTTTGCGAAAACCATAGAAATTACATTTGGAGAGGTGACAACAAGGCCTATGAAGAAAGGAAGACCATTCTTACTGTAAAGCATGGAGGTGGATTACTGGTGTTTTAGGGATGTGGTGAACAGCATCATGGTGGTGCCTGTTGACAGCAGCCTCATGCAGCTCCCAACAATCCCACAAAATATGCCATTCAGATCACTACAAACCAGCATCATCCTGACTGAATCATGGCTTCATTCATTGTTACCGGACATCGTTACCTGGACGGCCTCACGCTATCCTGTGCTGATAGGAACAGAGAACTAACAGGTAAGACTAGTGGTGGTGGGGTCTGTTTACATCAACAACAGCTGGTGTAAATATGCTAGACTAATGGCGAGCTTCTGCTCTCCTGACATCGAGTATCTGACTGTTGATTGCAGACCGTTCTATCTGCCCATACTGTTCAGTGTGGTTAGCATTACTGCTGTTTACGTGCCCCCCAGCACTAACACAAAAGAGGACATGAAGACTCTATACCAGGCTATCTCACAGAGGGTTTTCATCATTGCTGGAGATTTAAACCAGGCTAACTTGAAGACTGTGCTCCCTCATTTCTACCAACATGTGGATTTTACAACTTGGGGTGAAAACATTTTAGATTTAGCCTACTCTAACATCAAATATGCATTCAGAGCAGCTCCCCGCCCCACCTCAGGTCATCAGATCACCTTTCTGTCAAGCTAATTCCTGCATCCAGGCCCCAGCTAATCAGGGCTAAACCAACAGTTTAAAAATGTCAGAGAGTGTCTGGATCGTTCCAGACACAACCGAGCCGCCCTAAATCTAGCTCTAGTTCAACAGTAGGGCTCAGCATCTATGGCTTGGTTTTCCGATAACAAAGAGTGCAAGAGCATTTCCTATTTACAGTCAGCTGGCTCATTTCGTGGGTTTTCCGGCCTGTCTGGCTTTGCAATTCACAGATCTGGATCTAACATAGCAGTGTAAGGCTTAGATGAAGACAATAGTTTTGCTAACTCTGAAAGTTCAATTCGATCAAAGCTGTTTAAACCTGGTTCAGATTCTATGGTTACCTCAGATGCTGCCTCACCTTCCAGAGATAAACAAATCATAGTTAGAGGAGTGCTAATGATCTTCTTTTTAATACAATCAATCTTATTTATAAAGAACCCCATAAAATCTATTGATAAATATTGTGAATGTGAATCCTACCGATTCTCTGCAGCTTTTCCTGGGGTTTCCAGCAGTTTTCCATCAGTCTGTTTTCTTCCTCGTAGCGAATGATTGTTTTTTCAACCTCTGTGAAGATTTCCTCAGCGGCAGCAGTTAGTCGCTCTCTGATAAACTCTCTCAGATGCTGAACTGAAGACATTTTTACAGAAATATTCAGCTGAGATATGAAAACACAACCTAGCACTAGCTAAGTCAACGCTAGCTGTTTGACTGTTTTGTTTTACTTCCGCTGGTTGTCAAGCTAAGGCAAAGCACCCGACCTTTTACCGCCCCCTGTCGGATTGGATTGGAACAGCAAAATGGCCGCAAAAACAGACTATATTCTCTGATCAGACCACAACTTTTATAAACTGGTATTAATGGAGCATACATTAAAAAAAACCATTATAGGGCAGTGTTAAAAGTCGTCTCGACTTCCCAGGGTCCGTTGATTCGAGTGCAGGTAACTTAGATGGAATGAAATAAAGAATCTTGACAATGAAGCTTCGATTTTCCTTTTGCAAAAGGGAGAGCGGCAGCACACATCTGCGAACAGCAGCTCTGACTCTCTCCAACACAGCCTTTTTATTATCTTCATCAAGGAGAATTTTACAATTTCACACAGACAGTCCCGCAAGAAGTTACAGAGTGATCATACTCCTTACATTCCTATCCCCATGTATGGAGGTGTTGTTCTGTTTTCTGCT